CAGCCCCCCAGGGATACCTCCAGCCCACGGCACCCCACTGACCTCTCCGCAGCCTGCCCACAGTGTGGGAGAAGCCGTAGTACTGGTACGTGTCGCTCTTGCCCGGGTCCTCACTGATGATGCCCAGGTTCTGGTTCCAGTGGGACCAGTTCACCTCGTCCACCCTGCGGGGGGAAGGTGGGACCCAGAGGGGCTGCAGGGAGCGGCTGGGGGCCAGGGGGGGCGCCGCTGGCATCCCACCACCGCCAACGCTCCAGGTCGGTACCAATGACCCAGCACACGAGCGCACAGCGCCTGCACCCCAAAATCCTGCCCAGCTGTGGTGGGAGAGGCTCAGCTGCTTCCCGGCTCCCCGGGGCTCCTGAGGGCACCTGCCTTTACCTGAAGCACCAGCGACGATCGGGTGTCCCATCCGTGCCCTTCCCCACGGTGACCATCTCCCCAGAGCGGAAAGCTCTCCGCAGGAACACAGGGAAGGAGCGCTCGATGTCCAGGATGGTGGTGGCCCACTGCCAGGGACACGAGGGACCCCTCAGCCACTTGGGGATGGAGGCAACGAGGGTCCCTCTCCCTGATGGAGCTTGGGGTGCTGCAGTGCAGCTCCTGGGGTGGTACCTGCAGCTTCCAGATGTGCTTGCTCTCCTTGGAGACTTGGCCCACGGTCTCGCCCATGAGGGCGATGAGCATGTTGAGCAGGAGCACGAAGGTGAGGATGATGTAGGTGACGAGGAGGATGATGAAGACGCCCGGGTACTTGGCGCTCTCGAGCATCTCCAGGTCGCCCATGCCGATGGTGAGCTTGAAGAGGTCGAGCAGGAAGGTGCTGAAGGTCTGGCTGTCCCGGCAGGAGGGGTAGGTGCGCGCCGTGCAGTTGGACTGCTCCTCGCCACAGGACTCGCTGCTGGGACACGGGTTGAGGAGGGACACCAGAGCTGGGGGAGAACGGACAGGGACAGCAAGTCTGAGGGGGCAGCGGCAAAGACGGAGTCTGCAACAGACCCACATGCGGCTCCACGCCGGCCGAGCCCCTCTCGGTCACAGGAGAGCCCACAGGATCTCGGGATGGTTGTGCCGTAGGGCTCGTCCTTCCTGAGCCCCGGCTCACCAGCCAGCTGCCTACCTGAGGCGTAGCCAATCATGAAGAGCAAGTAGACCAGGAGGAAGCGGAAAAGGTCTTTGAAAAGGATCTACAAGTGATGGAGAGCGGGGTGAGATTTGCTGGACCATGGTACCCAGCTGTGTGCCTGGGCACCATCGCCGTGCCATGCCACAGGGACTGCTGGCCCGAGAGCAGGGCACCGGTGAGCCACGAGAAACCCTAAAGAAACCTTGGAGGACTCTCCTTTTGGACAGCATATCCAAAGGAGGACCAGCCCTGCCTGGGGAAGGAGAAGATCCCCCGAGCCCATCAGACCTTCTGGATCATGATGCTGTAGGTCCCTGTCAGCTTGAGGCCCCGAGTGAAGTACAGCGCGTTCATCCAGCCCAGTACCAGAGCAAAGACCATGACGGCCAAGTACGCCTCAACGCCACCCAGGTACAGCCCCGCCGTGACGATCACCAGCACCGAGTAGATGAAGCTGGAGGAGAGACAGGGTCAGAGCCAGCACCGACAGCCCCCCTTGAGCCCTGGGGGTCTGTGGCTTGCAGGTGTGTTCCCCACGTACTAGAGCAGCTGAAAGGAGCCATCTATGAAGAAGGAGTTCACGCCTGGGCACTTCTTCATGAACAGATCTTTGATCTGGGGGAGAGAGGCAGAGGTTGGGGGGTTCGGGGGAAGCGAGTCCCCGCTGGGCAGAGTCCCTGTGTCCAGGGGCCGTCATGGCAGGGGCTGATGCCTTGGGGCACGGGGCTGTCGCCCTCGAGTTGCTCCTTGCATGGAGACCACGAGGGCTTGGCCATCCCACGGGAGGACCTCCCGCCTCGCCGTACTGACGTTCGTGAAGAAGAAGAGGATGCCGGTGAGCAGGGTGATGATCTCCCCGGCCAAGCGCAGGTAGTCGACGGTGGTGGTGTACGGGTAGGGGGGCTGCAGGGGAAGGACACAACTGAGCTGCTCCACTGTCGCGGGGCAGACAGGGCTGCTCGGAGGCAAAACCCTGGCAAACCCCCCTGCCAGAAGGTGCTGGCCCACGGGGCTGTGCCTCGGGACTCACGGGGCCTTCCATGGGGCGGT